GAGAGAGAGAGAGAGAGAGAGAGAGAGAATCTACCCTTCTATCCATTGGAATCCGGCCACAATGGCCGGAGCTGGCCCAGATCGAAGCCAGGGCCAGAGCTTCTTCTGGGTCTCCCATGTGGGTGCAGGGACCCACAGACTTAGGCCGTCCTCTGCTGCTTTCCCAGGCCACAGCAGGGAGCTGGATAGAAGTGGAGCAGCTGGGACTCGAACTGGCGCCCATATGGGACGCCGGCACTGCAGGCAGCAGCTTAACCCTCCACACCACAGCACCGGTCCTGGTTTTTCATCTCTGAGGAAAAAAAAAAAAAAACAAAAAACTACCTTCTTTGAAAAAAAACAGACTTCAGAAAAAGTTATTTATTTACGGTTTATTTGGAAGGTAGAGAAACAGTGCCTGACACAGAGGGAGATTTGCATCCACTGGTTCACTTCCCAAATGCCCTCAACACAGGGCAGGGCCAGGCTGAAATCAGGAGCCAGGAGCTCCATGCAAGTTTCCCGCAGGAGTGAGCCATCCTCTGACGCCTCTGCTGTGCACATTAGCAGGAAGCTGGATTGGAAGCAGAGCAGCCAGGACACAGATCACTCTAGTACGGGATATGGGCTAAATGCTCCAGCTTCCAACTTTGGCCATCACCCTACATCCTGATCCTCCGGACTCTGGAGGAAGCCTTAAGAAGTTGTGATGTTGGGAGTTGTGGCTAAAAGACCAAAAGAGGAAGATGGGGAGAATTCAGATGAATTTAGGGTACACCAGCATCTTGGGGTTCCAAAGCCCACTTGAGAGCCTCAGTAACATTCCTGATGATCAGGAATGTTAACCTGTTAATCCAGGTTTTTGTCACTCCCACGAAGACACACAGGCTGTGTCAGAGGCTCTGCGAGGGCTGGCCTGATCCCCAGCACAGATGAGACCTAGAGAGACCCCGGGTCTGCCTGGGGTGTCCTAGCGTGGAAGGCTGTGCTGTCTCAGCGAGTGGCTGAGGGGGTGTGACTGGGTCTGGGAGGGGGTGGCCTAGGGCCCAGGGAACCTGGAGAGGAGCAGGGAGCCGCTGCAGGAATCTGGGCGCAAGGGAGGGGTAGAGGGTAGAGGGGTAGAGGGAGGAGGCGACAAAGGGCAGAGCGACTTCCCGCGGTGACGTCCTGTGGCTGTGCTACAGAGAGCACCTGCAGGAAGGACGGAAAGGCAGGGGCGGGGCGGGCTTCAGCCTGGACCCCCGGGACCTAAATTTAGATCAGACATCCAGGAAGACGAGAGGAAATCCAGCCCCGATGGCGGCTCCCTCTGCGCAGCCCTTTGCCCTACAGAGGCTCCGTCGGCGACCGCTTCTTCCTTGCTCCCCCGTATCCCTCGGTGGCAGACGGGGGTCAGAGCATTCAGGTAGAGGCGAGGCAGAATGGTGCTCAGCCACGGCGCGGAGGAAAGAAGTCAAGAACCCTGGTCTCAGCCACCTCTCTGGATCAAAAAAGTAAATAAAATGTAGGCTTGATTTGTAGCATTCGCTGATTTCCGTGGGGTCCGCACTGCTGCCACGGCTGATTTTTGCCCACATTTTAACAATGGTCCTGTAGAATTGCTGGCATTTAAAGGTTGGTTTCTGGAGCCCATAAGACCTTGCCCCCTGCTGACCCGTCCACTGCCGTCGTAAAAGCCCTCGGTCTCCTCGCTTGCGGCACCAGGTCTACTGCCCGGCCCCTGGGCGGTGATGGTCCAGTTTCGGCCCCCCACCCCAGCTTGAGGCTGTCCAGGGTGCCCTTGGCCTCCCCCTCCCCCTCCCCCTGCCCTGGGCCCTCTTAGAGACTTGCTGGGTGGGGTGGGCCCAGCCCCCTGCATCGGCGCTGGCCTGGATCAGCCCTGAGGCCTGCACAGGGGAAGGGTCCCCCAGGACGCTGACGGTCGCAGATGCAGGTGTTGGGTGTATGGTCCGAGCCCACCAGCTCTGAGTGCCCCTTAGGGATGGGATTTCTTTGCCTGTCTTCCTTGCCGCCCTCTCCCTGCCTGGAGGCGCTCACTCTTCTTCGCTGAGCAAAGACACACGTCCCCACTAGACTGGGGCGTGGCCAGCTCTCTGGGGTGTCCTGTGCCCCTTTCAGGTCCATCTTGGCCCATGTTGAATCTGCCCTCCTGAGCCCCAGACTGACTCAGCTCCCTGTCCCTGCCCTTATTCAGCTCTTGTCACCATCCCGCGGCCCATACCCTAACCACCACCAAGGTGTGGGGCCGGGCCCACCGCTCTGCATCCCACCCCTGAGGGCCCATGGCCCTTCCAGTCAAACTCTGCGGCGTCTTCCTGCACACGGTAGTGTCGCTTCCTCCACGAAGCCTTCCCTGTTCTCCTCTCTCAGGGATGGGTGTCCTGTCTTTATGCATCCTGAGCAAACCTTGGTTGTGACTCTCCCCCTACTGGGAAACGGCCACCGATTTGCTGGTCTCTCGGATTAGGCGATGGTTTTGCGGGAGGAACTGAGTCACTGTGCCTCGTAGCCCAGCACAGGGCCTGGCCTGCAGCAGGTGTTCCTGTGGGCACTGGTCACTTCTCTTCAGCACTCCATGTGCTCCTCGGTTAAAATGGAAGTGTCGGGGGCCGACGCTGCGGTGTAGCAGGTAAAACTGCCACCTACAGTGTCAGCATCCCCATGGTTCAAGTCCCAGCTGCTCCACTTCTGATCCAGCTCTCTGCTGTGGCCTGAGAAAGCAGCAGAAGATGGCCCAAGTCCTCGGGTCCCCTGTACCCATATGGGAGACCTGGAAGAAGCTCCTGGCTCCTGGCTTCAGTTGGGCCCAGCTCCAGCTGTTGTAGCCATTTGGGGAGTGAACCAGTAGATGGGAGACCTCTCTCTCTCTCTGCCTCTGCCTCACTGTAACTCTGCCTTTGAAATGAATAAATAAATCTTTAAAAAAAAAAGATGTCAAGATTTAAAAATAAAATAAAATAACATGGAAGTATCTTGAGGCCAGGAAGCTGGACAGGGCCGGTGTGACTGCCTCTGCAGCTGACTGAGTTGTCTTGAAAGGCAACTAAGTTCAACAGAAAGTTCTTCACAAGTTCACAAGTCCCAGTATGGTACAATTACAAAGACCCTTGGAAGGGCAGGCCTTGAAACACAAACATTTTGGGGACAGGTGCAAGCAGTTAAGCTACCACATCCCAAATCAGAGGCCTGGGTCCCAGTCCCTGTTCTAATCATGATTCCAGCGCCCTGCTAATGCACACCCTGGGAGGCAACAGGCGGTAACTCAAGTACTTGGGTTCCCGCCACCCATGTAGGGGACATGGATGGAGCTCCTGGCTTCTGGCTGTGGCCTGCCCAGTCCTGGCTCTTGTGGGCTGTTGTTCATTTGAGGAATGAACCAGCACATGGAAGATCTCTGTCTCTGTCTTTCAAATAAATAAAAATAGAAGTGCAAAATAAAAATAAATCAAAGGCAAATATTTGGAGGGGCAGTGCGCAGCTGTGTGGTCGGACAGCCACTGGGAGCGAGCCCGGAAACGAAGCCGCCCCTTCCCAAGTGACCCTCGGCCGCCGGGGAGCCTTCGGAGGAACTCTGGATCCGCCTCGGGGTGCTGGCTAAGCCTCTGCTCCGACCCCGCCACCCCTGGGCCAGCCTCCTCGCAGGGAACACAGACTCCAGCTCCAGCTGGAGCCCAGGAGCAGGAATGTTCTCGTGGTTTTCCTGTTGGAATCCTCGGGGCAGGAATGTTCTCGCGGGTTTCCTGTTGGGATTCTGTGAAAAGCGCTTTGGTTCTCCCAGCCTTGTGCCCCCGCAGTTCCAGGGGCACTGAGTCCGGGGCGGGGGAGTGGGGTGTCCCAAGCCCCGGCCTCCCAGTCCTTGCCCGTGGGCCCTGGGCATCTCATTAGTGTGGAGAGCTCCTGGACGAGGGGTTCTGGGGCCACACGTGCTGCCCTGGCTGGCGGGATTTCAGAGCTAAGTTGTTCTTTCTATTCTGCTTCTAGAAACAAAGCCCACCTAAAGGTGGTCAGCTCTGAGCTGCGACAAGAGGTAGGAGGAGCCACGCTGCCCGGCATTGAATCCCAGCTCCTCTCCAGCCAGCCACACGTGTCCCCCAGACTCACTAAGCCCCAATTTCCTCATCCAGCCAGGAGTGGGATCCAGGGTGGACGAGCTCAGGGCCAGGTACACTTGCCACCCCTCCTGTCAATGGCTCATCCATCCACATCCCAGTGTCCCCAGGGCCTCCTCCTGCTCCCAACAGCTCTGGCCAGGTGCTAAGAGTCACAGCCAGGGCTCCAGCCCCGGCCTCCCCTGGAATGCTTGGGTGCCTGGGGAAAGAGACCAGGGCTGGGGCCAGAGCGTGCAGTCGGTGAGTCTAACTCACCTGAGCTCAGCTCCAGGGACGACGGCTCAGCGAGTATCCCACTGGGCCCACCTGAGGGAGACCTACCGCAGCCACGGCCCCTTCTTCCCTCTCCCTTGTCCGCCTCCTCACCCTCGCCCCACCCTCACCTCAGCCTTCCGCGTCTCTGGGCACTCACCTGCGCTTCCTCTCTGAATCCCTGGAAAAGCCCAGTTAGGCAGGCAGGACACGGAACTCCTTCCTCAGCTGGGAAAACACTGATGCTCGGACGGAAGAATAGAGTTAGCAGCCCCGGGTAGGCGCTGTGGGCACAGGCTAGGCTGCTGCCTGGGATACCGGCGCCCACGGTGGGGTGCTGCCTGCGGTCCTGACTGCTCTGCTTTCCATGTGGCTTCCTGCTGATGGAGCCCGGGAGGCAGAGGAGGACGGTGCAGCTGCTTGGGCCCCTGCCACCCACATGGGAGACCCAGATGGAGGTCCTGGCTCCTGGCTTTAGCCTGGCCCAGTCCTGGCCGCTGTGGGCCCTTGGGGAGTGAACCAGTGGGTGGGAGATACCTCTCTCTCTCTCTCTCTCTCTCTCTCTCTCTCTTTTTCCCTGTCTCTTGCTCTGTCTTTCAAGTAGATGAGAATAGATAAAAATAAATAAATGACCATCAAAAATTGTATTAGTAGCTCACTTTTTCTGTGTTCATGGGTGATGGGTCCACATTGGCTGCCAAAGAGGTGCAAAGTCAAAAATCCTGCTCCCGAGGGCGGGCATCTGGTGCCAGAGGTTGACGCCGCTTGGGAGGCCAGCGTCCCATATCGGAGTGCCTGGATGCAGATTCCGGCTCTGCCCACAATTCCAGCCTCCTGCTAATGCGACACCTGGAAGGCAGCAGCTGATGTGCTGGCTCAAGTAGCCGGGTCCTTGCCAGTCACACGGGAGACCTGGATTGAGTTCCTGGCTCCTGGCTTCCCCCGGTCCAGCTCCAGCTGTCGGGGGCATCTCGGGGTGTGACCCAGAGGATGGGAGATCTTGTTTCTTTCTCTGTCTCTCTGCCTTTCAAATAAAATTAATTAACCAATTAAATGTTTAAACGTTCTGCTCCTGCCGGGTGCCCTCCTGCAAGGAGACCTAGCGCACTCATTGCTCAGGTGTCCTTTCAGAATTTGCCAGGGTAAATCCCAGCAAACGCAGCCACGCGGCCCCGCCTCCCCACTTCCCGCGGATCGCACTCAGCACGCCGCTGTGACAGCAGGCTTTCCCCTGGACATCGCGGTCCCTGTTCTCAGAGAGTGTCCTCACTGCTCTGGCAGAGAGCAGTTGCAGGCAGGCGTTGTGCCAAGGGGTCTCCAGCGGCTCCCTCAGGCATCATCACCCCAACTCCATCGCAGGCGGACAGCCAACCCAGCCCAGGTTCAAGCCTGCACCCTCCTCCAAGGTGTGGCCCCGGGGTTCTGGGTGGGCCCTGACTTTATCTACCTCTCACTCTCCACCAGTGGCTTCAATGCGAACATCAACCCAGTCCTGCTGCCAGCCACTGTGAACCCGTGAGCTGTAGACCACCCGTTAACACATACTCAGTCACAACACACTTTCACCACTCAGGAAAGAACAGGTCGGAATGGGATCTAAGATCTCTCTCTCTCTCTCTCTGCCTTTCAAGGAGATGAAACTAAAAGGTCACAGAAAATGCACATTATCTTTTGATTCTATTCTTGCATGAGTTCTTTGAGTCCCTGCTCCTAGCAACGGCAGCTACGATCCAGGGGCCCACGCCGCAGGCACCGGCGCTGCCACCCGTCAGCCATTTACAATACGTTCTTTTCAGAAGGTTAAGTCAGGTCTCTTTTAAATTTTTATTTATTTACTTTTATTTTATTTGAGAGAGAGAGAGAGAGATCCTCCATCCACTGGTTTATTTCCCAAGTGCCCACAACAGCCAGGGTTAGGCCAGGCCCAAACCAGGAGCGTGGAACTCCATCTGGGTCTCCCGCGCAGGTGGCAGGGGCCACCTTCTGTGACTTTCCCAGGTACATTAGGAGGAAGCTGGATAGGAAGCAGTGCAGCCGGGACTTGAACCAGTGCTCCTATATGGGACGCTGGTGGCGCAAGTGGGGCTTAGTTCACTGTGCCACCAGCCAGCATCCCCTTCCCTTTTTCTATGAGGGATCCCCAGGGAGGGGCCCATCACACTGGGAGGCCCCGGGCCGCTGGCTGCACAACCCCTCTCGTCTCAGACCCGCGCTTCCCCTTCCCACCTCCCCTCCGCGGCTCCGGGTTTCCCTCTCCTGTTGGCTCTCTGCGCTCTGGACCTGGGGCCTGTGGCAGAGCAGTGGGGAGGGGGCTGTTTCCCAGACCCCCCCAAGAGAGTCCCCTACAGGGCAAGCCAGGGAAAAGATCATTCTTGCAGGGTGTTGCTTTTTTGAAGTTTCAAAAATGTAGCTTTGTCTGAGCAAGTTAACACACACACACACACACACACAGAGGCAGGCACACACAAAACTCAATGCCACCTCCCACAGGCACCACTGCTTCTCAGGCCTTGGAGTTGCAGATGGTGGACAAACAGTACAGTAAAAATAGCCGTGTGTTTCTCAATGTGCCGGCCTCTAGGGGCTGCAGGGAGAGGCCTTGGCTGAGCCGGGTTTCTGGCCCCATTGTTTGCCTGCTCTGGGTTAGGGGTGGGCGTCGGGGCTTTTGGGAGGCGCAGTCATTCCCGGCCGGAGCAGGGAGGGGAGCGAGTTCTTGGCCAGGATGCGCCAGATAACACGCGCTTGAATGGAGAAGCTGTTGGGTGTTTATTTTCCCTTTCCGGGGCCAAGAAACAGAGCACACTCCGCTTGGAGCTGCAGTTTCCACGATTCTCCCCGCCGCATTTTCCAAAAGTGTGCAGAGGGAGATGGAGACGAGAGCTCTTATTTCCATCTGGGCTCTGGCCAAGAAGCCTTGACCGAAAAGTTACTTAAGCCCCATTTCCATCACCTGCAGATGGCTGCGTGCTGATTTCTAACCGAAGTCAAACCCCAAATGGGCTGCTCTGCCTGGCGGGGCTGGGGTGCAGCTTTGAGCCTTCAGGGAAAACAGAAATGTCGGCCCCAGCCCGGCATGATGGTGCATTCAGGGTGTTCCAGAACTGCCCACAAGCCAGGGCCAGGTGGGGTGGGCTGGGACCCCGGGGTCCAGAGGGACCTGAGATGGCTGCAGCTGGCTTTGAGAGGGGAGCTGGAGGCTGCTGAGCTATAGGGACAGAAATCGAAGCAAGGAGGGTCACCCGGCAGGTGGCCGGCCCAGCTCTGGAGGGAGGCGGCCGCCGTCCCAACTCTGAGAGCGCGTCTGTGTGTCGAGGGCAAGGCAGCATGTGGAAAATGACTCAGGGGCACGGAGCCCCACTGCGAGGCCCCCATGCCTCTCTCTGTGCCTTCACCTCCCAGGGCACTGAGCCCGGAGTGTGCTAGAAGGCCTGGGTCAGGAGCAAGCATCCAGGTGTCCACCAGGGGGCGCCTTCACCCCCGGGGGACACTCTGCCAGTCCCCCCTGGCCCCCCACCCAGACCCCCCAGCTCCTGAGTGAGGAAGCTGGCAGCTCTCCAAGTTGGGGAGGAACCCCTCGGGGCTGGGGAGAGGGCATCACCCAAGTGCAGAGCATGGGGAGAGGCTGAAGGCCAGAGCTTGCTCTCTGGGCTTCCACTCCTGCCTTCCCGCGGGTCGCCGCCGGCGGTGTCCAGGGCCTGTCTCTTGGCTTCTGCTCTCCTCCTTGTTGCTGATTTCTGAAAAGTGACTCTGGGTTCCTGTGGTCAACATGGCAACATTTCAGATGCGACCCAGGGCCCTGGCAAGGTGGGTGTCTGAGCCCTCAGGGGCCTAAGGGAGGACCCAACCCACAGAGGAGGTGGGAACACTGCAGCAGCACTGTGCCTCTTCCAGAAATTTCCAGGCTTCCCGGGGACTGTCCTCCACTGCACCCTTTTCTCAGCCCCCCTAGGTCTGGGGGTGTCTGGGGCGGGGGGGGGGGCACACTCCCTGCCAGGCCAGGCCGGGACCCTGTGCCTGGGGCCTGAGTTGCTGAGTGCAGGCTCCCAGAGTAGACACAGCAGGGACTTTCAGGCTGTCCTGGCCGGCAGTCCCCCCTCCCCCCTCCCAGGACTCAGCACTCTTTCTGCCCAAGAGCCCAGGGTTGCCGGCCCACGCGCCCACGGCCTGACCCTGAAAGCAGTGCTGAGTCCCGGCAGGACGCTACTCACGCCGGTGTGGACGGCAGTGTCACACACCATCTGCACCCTCTTCTTCCGCCCCGTCGTTATTTATGTGTGTGGCTTTGTGTTCCCGGCTAAATGCGGCCCGGTGTGAAGGCTGCTAATTAACCCCGAGAGAAAGACACCTCCCAGCAGGGCAGGCCCGGAGGCAGCCCCGAGATTCTAATCAGATGCCAGAGACCCACCCAGCTCCAGACGGGCGTGAAGGCAGCCAGGGGAAGGGGCTCTGGGAGATGTCCTCCACGCGGCTGAAATAAAGCCCGTTTTGTACATGCAGATTGTCAGGAGGGCAGGAAATTCTAAATCCACCAGGCTCCTGGGCCTGGGTGAGGAGACCCGGGGTTGGCCTAGGGGTGGGGCGGGGGCAGGGGCTGGCTCCAGGAGACAGGCCAGGCAGCTCTGCCTCGATGAGCCATGTGGTCCCTTCGTCTCTTGGATCATTTGTACTTGGGGCTGGACCTGTGCTGCTTCCTCCAGAGGGAGGAAAAGTCTGTGGAGTCACCCACAAATATATGCAGGCATCGAGGGTGACCCTGCTGGGGAGGGAACGGGGGATGGGTGACCGTGACAAAGTGGGACGGTCATTCCCAGAGAGGGGAGGGGGTCCCAGGGCTTTCCAGAGGGGCACTCATTCCCTCAGCTACAGACAGAGGGTCAGTCTAGAATCTTCCAGCTGCCCCTAGGATCTGGGCTTTCCCGGTACTAGAAACCCTGCTTTGTGGGCTTCGCCCGTCCTTGGTTTTGCAACCCAGGACCCTTCTCTTCCCCACCCTTCCCAGGTACGCTGAGGGTGGTGTTGGGAGGAGGGGGCCGGGGTGGGAGTGGGAGGCAGGTGGGAAGGCCCGCCCCGTCCCTGCGGGTCCTGACACTGACTCCCTGCAGAGGCCTTAGTTTCTAACGAGTGCACTGACTATGGGGTCAGTCAGAGCAGAATGAGCCCAGAAAACAACCCGAAAAATGCCTTCACAGACAGTGCCGGGCCGCCCCGTTCCCAGGCCTGTTTCCCTTGCAATGTCGGAGTTGAGAAAGGGAGGAAAGGCAAGAGCAGCATCCGGGCGGGTCCTTGGCTGCTGCTGGGGGGGGGGGGGGGGCGGTTGGGGTTGGGGGCAACTCCAGCAGCGGGCGCCTGGGGGGAGTCCCCCTGCTCCCCTCTCCTCCACCCCCTCCCCCGCGTGACACCCAAATACCTACGTCCCAGCCTCGCTCGCTCACAGCTGCACCTCAGCAAGCTGCCAGCCACTCTGATGTGGGCCGCGGGCCTGAGCGGATCAGGGCTCCCAGGCTTGCAGGAAAGTGACCTTGGACTTGCAGAGGTGAGGCGTGAGGGAGCGGCGGGTTTTCTCTTTTGCTAGGAAAGGGGCCTGCTTCCGGTCACCTCCTCCCTCTCGGCCCATGTCAGGGGCCCCAGGAACCCGTCTTTCTGCTCCAGGAGTAGATGCTGCCTTGGGGTGCCCATGCTGCCACCTGCTCAGTTTCGAGGCCAGGAGAGCACTGGGAGCGTTGTCTCAAATATGTCTCACCTGGGGCATTCTCAGCCACGCTGTCAGTGTCCCTAGCATGAGACTTTCCCAACTGGGGGGCACTTCGCAGTAGGACTTCCTGCAGAGCTGGGAATGTTTTATTTCTGGGTATCCCCAAGCCACACGTAGCTAATGCCTGAGTCTGCAGCCCGCAGGAGCTAACACGTTGCTCATTTTCTTTCATTTAGAAGCATTGAAGGTCTAGGACCTCCATCCGTCCCTAGGTCCCTGAGCCTCCCCGTTCTGCACTCTGAGCATCCGTTCCATTACACGGAGGGGAAACTGAGGCCTGAGAGAGGGAGGTAGGTCTGGGGGGCCCAGGGAGCCAGGAAGGACCTGGAGCCCACCCCCTTCTCCGCCATCCAGCCTAGGCCTCTGGCCAGGCGCCCCATGGGACCCTGGCCTCTGGCCGAGGTGTGGGAAGTTGAATGTGAAGAAACCCAAGCCCCCTTGGCAGGCGCCCAGCTGTGGTTTTGCACAGAGCTGCAGAGTCGGGCGGAGGCGGCGGCAGGGGACGTCAGAGGATGGGCCTCCGGGTGGCCCACCAGCGGCCCTGCGAGCAGGAGCCAGCCAAGGGGGTGTCTAGGCTTCCAGGTCCCACGGTGCCTCCTGGCAGCTGAGGGCCCAGTGTGACCTGGGACACCCTGATGCCCGGCTGCGGGCAGAGCTGGAGAGGGGACGGAGCGCCTGGCTGAGTGCAGTCACCATGCAGAAGCGAGGGCACAGGCACCCTCCCTGTCACCACTGCCGGCCGCACAGCTTCTGGGGCCCAGTGCAAAAGGGAAACGCGAGCTCCATCTCAGGATGCGCCCTGGTCCCTGCGCCAGTGAAGCCGAGGGGCCTCGCCAGGCATAACTGCTCTTTTTGCAGATGGGAAAATCAAGCACGGGGCCAGGGCCTTCCAGGGCGAGGGAAATGTCCTGCCTCCCCTTGGAGTGGGTGTCATGTGAGGACATGCCTTCGTCAAAATGCACCGAGTCGGGCCCTGACAATCCGTGCCATTATTGTATACAAATTAGTCCACAGAATAGCGGATTATGAAGGAAGTGTGTTGCAAACACTGAGGCTCAGAGGCTTGGAGAACGTGCCAGGTGCCCATTGCCAGCAAACAACAGAGCCAGAACACTGGGCTGGTGCACTCCGGGGTAACCGGGCTTGAGGGAAGGCCCTGTGGCTGCGATCAGACCAGGTGTCGGATCCACCTGTTCCAGAAAACGCAGAGCCGCGCTGCGCGCCGAGCTGCTGCTCTGTGAAATGGAAGCAAAGATGGCGCCCGCCTACCGGGTTCTAGTCCCGGTCGGGGTGCCGGTTCTGTCCCGGTTGCCCCTCTTCCAGGCCAGCTCTCTGCTGTGGCCCAGGAAGGCAGTGGAGGATGGCCCAAGTCCTTGGGCCCTGCACCCCATGGGAGACCAGGAGAAGCACCTGGCTCTTGGTTTCAGATTGGCGCAGCGCGCTGGCCGCAACATGCAGGTTGGCTGTAGCAGCCACTTAGGGGGTGAACCAACGGAAAAAGGAAGCCCTTTCTCTCCGTCTCTCTCTCACTGTCTAACTCTGCCTGTAAAAAAAAAAAAAAAAAAAAAAAAAAAAACGCCATCCTGTGGGTGGGAGCCACCCTAGGCAGCTGCAACCCCCCCCCCCCCGTCCCGCCCTTCCCCGCTCTTACCTCCCCCCAGCCTCCTAAAGCTCTCTTTCAGCTCAGGGTCCCCGCTCTGTCACTGCAAAGCAGGGGTCGAGGTGGGAAGGCCCGGGGTGGGGTGGTTTGGGTGGCCTGGGAGGTCTGTGCTCCGGGTGTGGGGCATAACTTATATGGGGTTTCGAAGCATGGAGGCAAGAGAAGGGGTCTGGGGGAGTGTGCAAAGCCCTGGTCCTTGTTCGAAGGGGATGGAGTTTGCTGGAGACTTTGTCAGAGCAAATATCAGGTCAAGAAAGTGTTAAAAATTCAGGGGTTCTGCCAAGAGTAGACAGGGAGTGAGTGACTTCCGGCCTCCTGGTACCTCCCCAAACCTGCCCTGTCTACACCACCCTCCAACCTGCAGGGCTGCACAGAGTTGATTTCCGTACTTGGAGGCCCCTCCCCACTGAAGGAGCTGGAGTTGTGCCGCTGGCTTCAGTCTCCAGCCCCTTGCCCGGGGCCTGACGCGTCCTAGGCGCTGAGAAACACTGGTGGGCCACGGTCACACTTGCTCAGTGCCAGCACTTAGTTAAGCCTGGGTCTGACCCATTGCTCAGGTGGGAGAGACACCCACCCCCTTCTCCCCCGGCCCCAACCTCTTCCTGACAGAGGCCACACCCCTTTAGGTTCTGTTTTGGGAAAAATTCTGTGGATTTCGTCCCCAAGGAACACCTTGGTCCCCAAATTTTAAAAATACCTTCATCAGTAACACAGGTCACTAATGAGAAAGCTGAGGCCCAGAGAGGTTTAGCCGCTTGGTCAAGGGTGCACAGCAAGGAGCTCACAGATCCTGCTCTAGCTCTCCTGCACACCCCTTTACCTCTGCTGCTCTCCCAGCCCCCACCACCATCCCAGAATGGAGCTGGGCTGGGTGGGGCTGGCCGCTGAGAGCCTCGGGGCTTGGCTTTGGCTCATGGAAATTGGGCTGTTTTCCTGGGGCGGAAATGAGAAGCAGATGTGGCTTGGAGCTGGGGTGCAGACTCCTGCCGTGTCAGGGGGCTCAGATTACACCAAGGAACACGTGACTGTGGTCGCTGAAACAGCCTGAAACCCCCAAAGCTCAGGTTGGGGTGCAGCCTGGGCTAGGAAGCCAAGCTCCACCTCCGGCCCCTTGGCCTCCTGGGAGCCCCGGGGGGCTTGGAAGGAGAAGGGTGGGAAGGAAGGGAGAGAGCCAGGCCCCTGGCTGCTGTGGCTTTTGCAGTCCCGCTCTGTAGGAGGAGTTCGGCTTCTCCTCAGTGCCGAGCTGAGCCCCTGCCCCATGTCCCTGCCCTGAAGAGGAGCCTGCGGAGGGCTGGGCAAAGCCTCCGGGGAGGCCAGCAGCGCCCCTGCCAGGGCCACCTTGATGCCCCTAACACATCTTGCACAGCTGCACACAACACCTGATGTCTCACCACGTGGCTCCCAAGCTCCCCGTTCAGGGATTGGCCCGTCACAACGCATGCCTTTTCTTGGAAAGCGTCAAGTCTCCTGCAGGATCTAGGCAGCCTCACCAGAGTGGAAAGTAGCACCAGCTTGCCCCAAACCAACAGGCCGCGGGGGTGAGGGAGGCAGATCCTGGAGAAAGGGAGGGCGCGGTACAGGCCCCCAGGAGCCATCTGACGACGGCTGGTTTGGGCAGAGGTTTGTCTCTGCGCTGCCCAGGCCTCTGATCTCCCCCTCAGCCAGTGGGGCAGGGCCTCCTTCATTCCTTCATTCGTTCACTTCTTCAATAGATGATTCTCGCACCCCCATTGTGGCCAGGGCAGTGGACGAAGCCCTGCGGCTCCAGGGGTGGCTGAGCAAGGACACCGTCTCCCTGGCGTCCTCAGCTGCCAGGGAGGCCCCGTGGAAGCGGTGGAGCCTCCACCGCTCGGGGGGTTGACTCATCTGCTCACTGCT